GCTAGGTGCCCGCCTGGGTGGCCCCAGGAGTTCTGCCACTGTGGAGGTAAGGGCAGCGTCTGCTGCAGCTCAGGACTCACTGGCAGCTTGCTCTCTGGCTGTGTGAAAGGCGGGCAGGCTACGTGGAAAAAAAAAGTGGTGAGGGTCTGATCCTTTATTTTTCTGTGGAGCCTGCCTACCTCTCCCACGTCCATGAGGTAAGCTACCAGCAGGCCCTGAGCTGCAGGTGTCCCCAGTTCCTCCCTCTATGGCAGCGGCACCCTCTGGGGCCATGTAGGTGGGTGGCTAGTGGGCCGGTGCTGCCACAGCACAGAGGCAACACCCAACCCAATCCAACGCTTCCCTGAGGGCAAGCTGAGGCAGCATCTGGCCTGCTAGCAGCCCTCTTGGGTGGCTGCAGCAGGGTGGTGCTGCCACAGAGGGAAGAAATAGGGCCACCCACAGCTCAGGGGCTTCTTGGCAGCTCATCCTCAGCTGTAGGAGATGTGGGAATCTGCAAAAAAAAAAAAAAAAAAAAAACATCAGTCTCCTTGCTGTAACAGTGACAGAGCCCCCTAAATTGAAGTGGCGTTTTTAAAATCAATTTAAAACCTACCATTTCAATTTAGGCAACGAAGCCTGCATCATGTGTACAGGCACCCAAGGTGATTGAATAAACACTGGCACACTCATTGCTGGATTTCATCCTTCCCGGCCATGCTGTCTGCACATGCACCCAGGACTACAGCACACTGAGCCAGGGCAAAGGAGCCCTAGCTGTCAGGAGGCTCCAAGGGTCAGCCTGCCAGTCCACAGCTACTCCAACATGCTGATTGTTGCTGACTGGCTGGGAGGGTAAAATGGGCCATGTTTAAAACCATGGTTTTTCCTCAAGAGCAAGAGAATGGGCCCTTCTGCCAATGGTGGGGGACAATACAGGGAAGAACACTCCTCCTTCTTGTAAGAAGTTCCCCAAGAGGAAATAGTGTCACAAAATAAAGTATTTATCAGCATTTCTTCCAGGATGGATTACTATCTGAACTGAAAGAGAAATAACTTGTAATTCCACATATAACAACACCATCTCTGGTGCCTCCTGTCATAATGAATATATTAGAAACAGAAAAGATAATGCTGTGAGACATATATTTAGTAAGGAAGACAGAAATAAAAGAAAACAGGTTTGCTCAATGCAAGTCATTTAGTTATGTAAAAGAAAACTTATGGTCCAACTCTGTTGTCAGTGAAAACAATGGGAATTTTGCTAATGACTTTATGAAAGTAGGATCTTATTTTAAACTTTCAGAAAATCTGCAAGTCCATGTAAGCCTGTTGTGATGTCCATGGACCTCTATTGATGCCTATAGTTGTGAATTATCACCCCACAGCAGCCAAATAAGAGCTAGGGAAGAAGTGTGCCTCATCAGGATTTTTCTCAAACACAATATGTTCTAGCATAACCCCCACAGTGCCACACGTAGATCAGGGGATAAAGAAATCAGGACCTAACCTTTAGGCAAGTTTTGTTGTTAAGGGACTTCAGCCCCCTGATGAGATTCTGAAATAAACTGTCCATGTTTAGTTTAATTTTACTGAACTTCTTAGGGACAGTATAAGGGAGTTAGATGTCTATTTCCAACTGAAAATCCCAAGGTGAGATTCTCTTTAGTTTTCTAAAGTCAATAATATAAAATGATGTTCTTATCCAGTTCTGATAAAGACCATATATATTTTAATATTCAACTATTCCATGCAGAGCTCTAGCCTGTTATAATTTTCTGGTCTCTGCTCATTTCTTTTTAACATCAGCATTGGGACAGAGCCCTTTTTATGGTGGTTGATAATTTCTGTTTCAGCTAGTTATACATAATGTTACAGCAGTCTACATACCTGCTTGAGGAAAAGTTGTATATCTTTCTCTTCTTCATTTAGGATACATAAATCAGATGGTTTTGCAATTTTTTGGCAGATACATGAAGATTTTTGGATGATGCACTTGAGCCCTGGCTTGAGGAGTGTGCTTGGTTGCTGCCAACATCATTTGCTGTGTCTTTAGTATAGATCATTTTAAACCAGTTTCACCCAGTCTTCATCCCAGCAGTGTCATTAGGCAGGGAACCAATGGGGAATTTTCTAGTTCCTGTTCATGGGCTTCCTATTTTGATGGACCCTTGCAGATGGATGGGGAATGAAAAGAATGATATGGGAACTTGGATACTGACTTGCCTTCACTACTGATCCTTGACTAAACCATTCCAACCAAGTGTCTATCTAATCTGCTCTGGAAAATGTCCAAGGAAGGAGATCCCACAATTTCTCTACATAGCCTCTTCTAATACCAGAACACCATCATAGTCAGAAAGTTCTTCCAATCTCTAACTTAAGTTTCCTCTGCTAGTTTAATGCTATTGCTCCTTGTCCTGTCCCCTATAGCCACACAGAAAAGCCTATCCCTGTCCTCTCCGTAAATTGCCTTTCAGGTATTTGATTTTTTTTTCCAAATCCTCCTTCAGTCTTCTCCAGACAAAATAACTAGTTCTTTCAGCCTTTCCTTATAAACTTTTCCTCTCAGACCCCTAATCATTTTTGTTGCCCTGCGTTGAATTATTTTTAAACTGCCCATATACTTCTTGAAGTGTAGGGCTCAAAACTTGACAGTGGGTATGCCTACATGTATTTTTTAATGTGAAGGAAACTATTTTTGCTGCACATTAAAGCTTCACATAAAAAACCATGACATTACTCTAATACACAGTAAATTAGTTTACTGTACACTAAGTGTTACTAAAAAGCATGCAAATATGCAACTGCTTATAAGTGCAGCCTAATGCATATTAATTAAGTACCTTACATTGGAGGTGCTACATTTAATGTGCATTATAAAAAGGCGTATTAATGCATGTATAAAAACACCCACAGTACTCCAAGTGAGGCCTCTCACCAGTGCTGAATACAGAGGAAGAAACACTTCCCTTGATTTTTAAGTGACACTCCTGTTAAAGCAACCCAGTATGCCATTAGCATTTTTTATTTTTTATTTTTATTTTTTTGCAAGAAGAGCACACTTTAGGCTTATATTTAGTTTATGGTCCACTGTAATCCCCAGGTCCTTCTCTGCAGTAATGTAGACTAGTCAGTCATTCTGCAGCCTGTGTTTATGTACGGAATTATTCTGTCCCAAATGCAGGACTTTGCACTTGTCCTGATCTGACTGTTGAGCCTGCTTTGGTAAAATGTGGACCATTTCTCCAGGCTGTTCAGGTCATTCTGGATCCATCCTACTTGATCTCATCTGCATATTTTAGCCAGAGGAGATGTTGAGTCATTGTGGTGGGCAACTCCCTCCTGAAAGGAATGGAGGGAGCCATCTGTCATCCAGATCCTACAGTATGGGAGGTATGCTGCCTGCCTAGAGCTAGGGTTTGGGAAATCACAGTGAGGCTTCCAGATGTAATCAGGCCCACTGACTACTACCCCATGGTCCTCATCCATGTTGGAACTAATGGTGAGGCCCAGAGTAGTCTGGGATGGGTCATGGCTGACTACACGGTTCTGGGAGACAGGCTTAGAGGCGCAGGGACACAAGTAGTCTTCTCATTGGTCCTCCCGGTCAGCGGCCATGGCCAGCACCACGGCAATTGCATTGAGGTCGACTCACAGCTTTGGAGCTCGTGCCATCTTACTGGGTTCAGCTTCCTAGACCATGATCCATACTTCCAGGATAAGACCTTGCTGGGACAGAACGGCCTACATCTTTCCGAAAGGTAAGAATGTGTTCTCTTACAGTTTGGCAAACCTCCTATGTAGAGCTTTAAACTAGCTTTGTTGGAGGATGGGGATGCCAAGTTCAGGACAAAATTGGGTAGGACAAGCCACAGACTGCACAATGGAAATGAGTACTAAGGTAAGTATTAAGGGGCCCACTAAAAATCAGGATAAGGGAATACTAAGGGCACCTATCGGGGGGGTTTAGGTGTCTCTATACTAATGCTAGAAGTATGGGAAAACAAGCAGGAGGAACTTGCACTCCTGCTCGCAGACAAAGATCCCAACCTGGTTGGTCTAACAGAAGCCTGGTGGGACCCTACCCATGACTGGGCAGTTGGCATTGAAGGTTACAAGCTATACAGGCAGGATAGATTGGGGAAAAAAGTGGGGGGTGCTGCTCTATACATTAGGGAGCATTATACAACTTCTGTAATAAAGATGGGGACAGAAGAAGGTCAAATCAAAGTCCTATGGGTCAGATTACAAGAGGGTAGGGGTGAAAGGGACTTGGTAGTGGGGATCTACTACAGACCACCCCACCAGGAGGAAGAGTTAGATCTAGAATTCTTAAAACAGCTCTCAAAGGCAGTACACTCAAAACACCTAGTTGTCATGGGTGACCTCTGCTGGGAGGAGCAGTTGGCCAGGTCTGCCCATTCATGTAGGTTCTTAACCTGCATACAGGACCTGAATCTAACACAGGAGGTATGCAATCACACTAAGGGAGGTGCCTTACTTGACTTGGTGCTGGCCTCAGGGGAGGACTTGGTGGGGGATCTACAGATACAAGGTAACCTAGGGGATAGTGACCACCAATTGATAGGATTCACTATCTGGCATATGGTGGGAAAGACAACTAGTAGGGTAGTAGTCCTAGACTTCCGGAAAGCCAACGTCAATGATCTCAGAAGATTCGTTAGGGTAGGATGAAGGAGCAATCATGTCTGTGAGATGGGAGTCCAAGAAGGGTGGGAGTTCCTCAAGGCACCGATCCTACAGGCACAGAGGGACACCATCTAAGTACATGTAAAGGGAGGCAAAAGAGCCAAAAAAAACCCCCTTGGCCCAGCAGGGAAATCCAGGAGAGGCTTCAGAGGAAAACAAGAGGCCTGTGGGAGCAGGGGGCAGCCACCACAGAAGAGTATACCTGCTTGGTTCGTGCTTGCAGGGAAGCAGTGAGAAAGGCCAAAGAAGATACAGAACTCCAGTTGGCAGCAAAGATTAAAGATAACAAAAAGTCCTTCTTTAAGTACATAGAGAGTGTGGCAGAAATGCCAACGTCTGTGTCTCCCCCCAGGAATCTGTCCCTGCCAGCGTGAGACACTGGGGTTGAATTCCTAAGAGAGGGGGGATTTTCCTCCCTGCCTATGTGAAAAAGGCCTGGTGCTTAGGGTGTGGTCCCTCTGGTCACCTGAGTGGGAAGAGGAAAAGCCCCTGCTCATCTGCCCAGTTAACCAGTGATGCTTTTTAAATTGGTTGGCCAGTTGCCAACACTGCTGGCTTCTATTAGACTGGGCTGCTGAGGTCAGAAAGGCTATATAAGGGCCTGGTCCAAGAATAAGAAGGGGAGAAGCCATTTTACCAGCATAGCTCAAGCATCAGGACACAGCGAGAGAGTCTGATCCATCTGAAACACTCTCTCTCCGGAAATCTCAGAGCCAGATCTCTAGCATCTTCTGAATGATACTTGTAAGTGTTTCTAGAGAGCTAGTCAGCTCACAGTGATGCATTTGTCTATCAAATGGTTACCTCAGCCAGATTGTTTTGCTCAATGGTAATCCCTTGATAGTGCTCTACCTTTTACCCTATTCTACCTCACCCTGTCAGGAGCAATAAAGTTCTCCTTTGTGACTGGTACAGGAGACTTATTGAGGGGTGGGTTTAATTATGCCTAGGAGGCCCCTTGGGTCTGCTGACTAAGGGAGACTATTTTTGCCCCTGACTTGGGGAGGTATCCCAAGTTCTTGTATTGGGTGGAGTACCTGTAGGACTATTAGGCCTGTGTTTCCCCGAGGACACTGGATCTAGACAGTCCCTTTTCGGGGTGGTGGCATCACATGTTACCTCCAGACTCTGCAGTGGGGCTCGAAAGGGGGCCTGCCAGGGCTTAGGCACCCCTGGAGAGACACGTGGAGTCCGGAAGGTGGACGGTCATAGTGAGGTGGGAGACTTAACACAGGAGCTCCCCCTACTGGCCCACCACAGGGAGCAGGAAGAAGGTGCAGGGTAATATAGGGCCACTACAGAATGGACTTGGGCAACTTGTAACTGATAGGATGGAGATTCCACAACTTAAGTTGTGGAATCTCCATCCTTGGAATTTTTTAAAAGCAGGTTAGACAAATACTTGTCTAGGATGGTTTAAACAGGGATGCTCCTGCCCTAAGCAGGGGTTTGAACTACATGACCTCCTAGGCTAAGTACAGACCGTCAAAAAGCCCAAGGCTGAATTGACTCAATGTTTTCAAGTTAGTCTAAACTGTGTAGATTGAACCCATAAACAAGTGAACAGACATTCACTTTTGATTCCAGAAATGCAACCTCATGCCTGCAGTGGCTCTGGCTAGAAGCCAGGGCATGCTAGAGCATGCCTTTATGCTCAGCTGGAGCAGACATCATGGGCCAAGGCTATCCCATCTACCCCGCTGGGGGGGCGTGGGAGAGAGAGACTGAAGGGAAGGTGAAAAGTTTCCTAGGATGTTGGGGAACTATGAGTTAACTTGAATATGGAGGGAATTTGGGACAGAAAAATCAAATCAACCAATTTAACTTAAATCAGTTGAGCCTGATACTACATCCAACCAGGTTTATCTTAAATCAGTTTCAGCCTTTTTGAAAATGCCTTATGTGCACTGAACTTCTGTTGTGTTAAAGATTTGAACTGGCTAACGATTACCTAAACTGGTTTATATATAATTTCTGTCTCTATCCATAAAGTCCCTCCCAGCTTTACTATTCTATAATTCTATTATTTTAAACCCACCTAACACTTTCCATTATAAGACTCTTTTCTTCAGTTGCTTATAGCTTTTCTCTGCTTTAACTGTTTAGGTTGAAAATCTTCAACATTTTGGGCATTTCTACATATCTTCAAGCACAGTGCCGTGCTTGCCATAGACAGGTAGATTTTGCCGCTACGTTGCCATAGAGGCATGCTGTACCTAGAGAGCGCTCCACAACAGAGATGTAGCTTACAATCACATGTAGACACATGTAACCACTATGTCACTGTAACTCACTGTAGAGCATCGTTATGTCACCGTAGGGTGATGTGTAAGTGCAAACTTTGAGCCACATTTCAGCATTATGATAGTTCAATTAATGACCTAACTAGCAGCAATAAAAGGTAGTAGCCTTTATCCCTGTTGTCAACATCTGTTCCTTGATGCCACAGTACCCTGCCTGTTGCCAACTCAAGGCCAGGAGAAATAATTGCAGTGAAATATCCTGGTTGAAGCACACTTAGGACAAATCCTATTCCACCTATTAGGTGCCTAAATGGATTAGGTGCTTAAGGGTGGTATCACACATTCAAATTAACATTTACTGGCCATGCCTACATGAGATGCTACTGTGCAGTGGTTACTGTGCATTTATTTAGGATGTGTTTATAGAATTAGTAAATATATGCACAATAACCTGAGTTACTGTGCAGTAGCACTGGCATCTTTTGTGATGCTACAGCCAAGGTTCCCTCTAAGGTGTGTATGCACATGGCTGCCACAACTAAAAGTGTGGCTGCGCACAGCCTTTTCAAGGATGTCCACCAGGAGAGGCTGGGGTGGGAGCCTGGTGCAGGCTTCGCTGGCTCTGGGGAAGTGCTCTGCTCCCCTGCATCAAGGCTGGGGAGTGCAGCACTCAGGGAGGAGCTGCTGCCTGCCCTGAGTGAGACTCCGCCGTCTCCAGGACACTGCTCCACTCCCTGGCCCTGATGCCACATGCCTCCTTGCTCCCCAAGGCCATGCAGGGGAGCAGAGCAGCGTCCCAGAGCTGGTGGAGCCTCACTCAGGGCAGGGAGCAGCTCCTCCCCGAGGTGAGGCAAGGCAGGGATGGAGGCTGGGGCGGGGGGCTGGAGCAGGCTGTGCTGGCTTGGGGAAGTGCTGCACTCCCCAGCCCTGATGTGGGGGAGCAAAGCACTTCCTTGGAGCTGGCAGAGCTGGCAGAGCCTGCACCAGCCCCCAGCTCCAGCCCCTGGCTTCTGGCTCTGGCCCTTGTCCCCCCAGCCCCCAGCTCCAGCCTCTGGCCCCCAGCCACAGCCTCCAGCCTCCAGCACCCAGCCTCCAGCCCCAAGCCTCCAGCCTCTGGCCTGACCCTGCTCTTCAACCCTGCCCTGCTCTCTCGGCCTAGACAGCCCCGTTCTGCACCCCGTGCTGCCTGCTCCCACAGCTCTGTCCATCCAGCCCCGCAGCAGGGACCCTCACCACAAGTCGAAAAGGACTGAACTCAGAGCCTCATCCAAAACAAGCATCTGTGGAAATCAGCCCCTGGGCCCTGGTTTAATTTGGCTCTACAGAGAGGGGGGATGTAGTGCATGTCCTGCTGGCTGTGTACTGAGACCTGTCCACTCCAGCCCCTTCAGGGGGCCCAGCTGCGTGCTCTCTCAGGAAATGGTCTCAGACTGCCATGATGAATTGTGGCACATTGGCCCCCAGCAGTGATCTGAGTTGGGACTAAAGGACACAGACAGAGCAAGGGATAGTCATTTGTCAGGCCCTTAGGGGAGGGGTGGACAGACAGGCTGGAGTGGACACACAGAGCTCGTCTCGCTAGGGCAACTGTGGCAGAAAGCCACCTTGGTTTCTCCCCAAAAATCTCTGCTCTGTGACACTGTGATTTAAATCTCTGTGCTGTGACCATACAATTAGGGTGGGCCCAGCACACAGGGGACCACACCCTCAGCCTGTCTCTTTAGGAAACTGGAGCTGGCTGCATTCCTGAGGGAGGGGGGAAACCTGCT